CCACACTGGCTGCCCAGTGTGGAAACTCTTACGATGCTCTTGGAGCATCGGAAGTCGGTTTTCGTGGTTCAGAACAGCCATTTTTGAACTGGGGAAGAGTAGACGTAGGATGCCTAGAAGGACTTCTATGGCTAGCGTCATTGGTGTGTTTTGTTGAGAACGAGGAGATCAGTTCTTGTAGAGTGTCCGAGCTTTTTGGCACGTTGAGTTTTTTTTTTTTTCCGTCTCGTTAGCATTTTTTTTTGTTCTCATTGCTTTTCAAGAGCGTTGTTGAGTTGGTACGAGAGCCATCTGGTCTGCATCCTGGGGTGAGCAAAGCTTAGAGCATGTGGATTGTAGGCCAAGCCCAAAGCGAGTGAGTACGAAAGCCTCATGGATGGTCCGATTTTCTGTACATAGCTCCTTCTATCTCATTAAGCTCAGGGAGTCGGGTGTCGTTGCTGACATGTATTGTGGCGCGACGCCGGGCGTCGTGACACCATCTAGGACAATGGACGCCGATCGCTCGGTAAGCTGCTGTGTGCGGCGAGCGAGTAGGGCTACCTTACGAAGTGGGTGTCTCCTTGCGGCTGCCTCTTCTGCACCTAGGCTGGGTGCTTAGTGGATGTCAATTGTTCTGCACCTAGGCTGGGTGCTTAGTAGGATGCCACCTGTCGCACGTGCCACAACTAGGTGGATCGTTGCGTAGAGGTGTTTTATTTTGCGATTCACGAGTTAGGAAAAGTGGTCTTTGTTTTATTTTAGCTGGAAATCTTGGCCGCTGCCGATGTATTTGCTAGCAGTACTGACCATCGTACCACGTAGGCGAGGAGTCCGAAGCTCTCTTCCCTTTGCCCTACTGCATTGTTCTGTCGAGTGTTTGGAATGTGAGCATCGAGAATTATGTATCCCGTGGCTGGCTGTCTTCTGGACATCGTCTTCGCCATTGGCCAGGAATGCGGTCTTGAGATCGGGCGATGGACATGCCTGGAACCTGCGCAACTGTCTGCAGTCCGGCGCCCTCATGAGTGCTGGTCGCAACCAGAAAACGTGTCTAGAAGTCGTCGAGCTGGACAGTGAAGCTTTGTCGACCGGCGGCGGTGCCGTGGTGCACAGACATTATTTAGGGGCTTGTGTTGTCATTTTTTGTTAGAGCTTGTGTAGCCGAGCTCTTTCACATTTTTTGGGGATGTGGTTTGAAATAAGGTAACAAAGATCTGTGGGTGCTGACACCCCCTGTAAAGTTATTTGCGCTGCAAGGCGCACGTGTCTTGCCCATAGGCCGCATTTAGGGGTTCACAGCTATTGAGAGGTAGGTGGCATTGTGCTCGCGAGCGTTTATCACCACCATCATCATCTTGGTTAAAACGGTAGTGCCGGGGATGACGTCTGGCGGCAAGCCTGGGTGGCGGCACGGGAGAGATGAGCGGGTCGCTTTGGCTGGTGGTGATTGGCGCGAACAGTTGTCTCTCGCAGTGGGACCCCGGTGCATGGCACCGCGGACCGTGTGCCGGGGGCCCTTGTTGTGAATCAGGCGTTAGCGACACCACCTTGTTTGTCATGTTGTTGAGAGTTGTGTAATATTGTGTAAGGTTGTTTTGCCTGTTGATCACAAATGAATGTTATAATATTATAATTCGGCTGATAATATCGTTGTTGTAAACTTAGTTAAATAAATGTGTTGTTTTGGTTCATTCCGACTTCGTCTGCTGTGTCTGTTCACTCCAACAGCCTGGCTTTCGTCATTGAGAGACCCCACAAACTGGAACCTGTTTCAATTGGGACCAACTGTTCTAGTTTATTCCCAGCTGAAACCAGTTGAGGTGTAACTGGGACCAGAACCACTTGCAACTGGGACCAACTGTACCAGTTGATTCCCAGCTTCAACCAGTTGGCCTGCAACTGGGACCGGTTGATGCCAGTTAATGCCAGTTGAAACCATTTGAATTCTCAGTTACACATTTTCACAAGGGAAAGCATCGGATGCGTTATTCGAAGGTCACAGATTCGGTCCCTGCCCACGGCAAGTTATCTTTTAGTCCACTTTTCTTTCTTCACATTTACATTACAATTACTTCTAGTAGCATTCTATAAACTTTTCTTGTCATGATTGTCTGTTAGCTCACATTATTATTTAATGTATCTGATATAAGATCGCGAGCATATTCCTTGGTGTGTGGGAAATATTTGAGTGTTATTCAGTTTTATTGGAATTGGCGTAACACTCTGCTTGTGCCAATCCAAGTTTCATAGAAAACGTTGGCATCAAAAAGACATATTCTATAATCAGTCTCTGACAGCTACCTTTGCTTGCAGAATGGGTTTCAGAACAGGGGAAGCCGAGGGCATGCACTGTGAGGAATTTCGGGGTGTGAGAAAATTCGATGGCATATGGTGGCATCAGATGGGGTGAGGCACGGTGAATGGGATATCCCAGGAGCATTTTTCCCCTGGCAATGCATATAATTATAGGCAATGATGAATAATAATGAGAACCATTGATTAAAATTCAACTCGTGTGATACACGTAGAGGAGTTTGGGGGGGAAATATGACAAAGATAATGTTGATTTTTATCAAGAACCATTCACTTAAGGTTTTGAAACTGCAAGGAAAAAGAAAGTGCCCTTGAGAATGGGTTTTGTAAAAGAATATTAACACTGAAAAATTAAAACAGGATATTTAGCCTTTTTATGCTTTGTTCTGATCAACATTTGATTTTGTTCAAGCGGTGCACACTTACGTGACTGGTATAACAGAGATTTGCTTCTTGCGCACTGTAAATTCTATGCATTCACCTTTTCCTTGAACTATGAAGCTCCCTTCTACAGCCCTACCATTGATGCTCATGATCACTTTTATCCGCGGAAGAAAAGAAGTGTGAATTTAAGGGCTCATTGTCTTTCTAGACAAGTATTAATTAGAACTAATTAATAATATTAGTTGTCATAATAGTTTATACACTGAGTGTTTCACATCTTAGGTGCAAATTATTTCTAAATTGTTGTGGAAAGATCGCACAAAGTTATGCAAAGCTCAAAATAGAGAAGCTAGCTGACCCTCACTTCGTTATGCTGGAGGTCAGAAATCGCTACTGTGGCAACAATTGGATCCAGCGTGTTTGGCTGAAGAAACAGCAGCCAAAAAATGGCAACAAGTGGGTTCAGAATATGTGCAAAGCTTGCCCCTCAGAATGTGTTTAAACCGCTGTGACCAAGCCATGGTGTAACAAACTCTGGCAGTTGCTAAGGCAATGGCTTGGTGGCAGCTGCTGCTTCACACAGTGGCAGTTGGGTTATCTTTAGCGCAGCTGCGGCAGCTGGGCTAAAGACAACACAGCTGCGGCAGCTATGACACAGCAGGGTTTTTTTTGTTAATGGATGTCGTAGTGCCAGCTTTTCACTGTTAGAAAATCGTTTTACAAAATCAGGGCTTTGGAGCTGATTGGGACAGAGTTATACAATATTTACTAACTTTTCTTTCGAATAAGGCCTTATTGCCACAATTATGCAGGCTCAGGTTTTATTCAGAAAGGGAGTGAAAGTCTTTTGAAGTAGTAATTCTTTAGTTTTGAGGTCTAAAGCAGTCATACATCATGTGACACTCCAGTGTATTTAGTGCATGTAATTATGATAGATGATAGCAAGCTGGAACGCTCTGAAATGCTGTTGTTAATGACATTTACTATGGCAAATAATGTAATAATTGAAATGTTTAGCCAGCACTTTGAATCAGTACATAAGGTCACAATTTGAACTCTTCATCTACTTGTGACCTCTCTGCTGACCACTGTGATCATGAATGTCATTTTTCATGGCAAGAACATGCCTGGTTTAACCAGGTTGTATTGAATGGATGGGTGCTGACTGGTAAAGGCAGCGAGAGACGCATTCAAGTTTCAAGCATGGAAAATGCAGGGGAATCTATGGTAACTGGGTAGGGCTCTGGCTTTAGCTTTAGCTCTCGCTGTTCGCAGTGCAAAACTGTGTGGCTCAGTGTTGACAGAAAGCTTAGCATTCTTTTGGAGCTCATAAAAATGAGCATCAGCACATACGCTAGATGGAAGTTATCGGAAAATGCCGAAGCATAGGTTTTACAGGGGCCGCTAGAGTGGCATCTCATACGTGCAATTGCATGCTCTCTGACCTTTGTAAAAACAATAACAAATAATTACTTAAAGGTTCTTCATTGGGGTCCTGTGCAGAACACAAATGCACTATAACTAGTTGTCTTTAAATGTGACTATTAGCGGGTATAGTCTTCACTGTGTGTGCCCGTATTTTGTGTGATTGTTGATATATGTCATAGCAGGGAAAAAATCTGCTGTGCGCTGTTTTATGCTAACTGAGAGAAAATTGAGATCAGCTTAAATAAAAGCTTAAATTTCACTGTTGTTTGCGGGTACCTTATAATTCATAGATAAAAGTCTGTTTGCTATATTTCTCTCTCTTATGCATATTTGACCATAAAGTCATCAATCCTAACATTTTGCCATGAGGAGTTTCCATCCAGTTGAAAGAAAACCACTAGACTGAGAAGTTGGAGGAAACTAAAAAGAGACCCCGGATCTACGAAACAGGGGATTAGGGAGATAAAATATTGTGGTGAGGGTGGTTACTCTGTCATCATGAAAAGTGTGGAGATGGAGGGGGGTATGTAGCTGAGCCCACTAATATTTTTTGGTAGTTTGTGCTCAGGCTACAGCATTTTGGACATACTACCACCAACCTTTGTGGCTTACTAACTACAGTGCTGCACTGCTAAGCTTCAACATGCAGGTTTAATCTTCTATGGCAAAAAATGCAAATGATATGGGTGAAATGGGCTGACTATAAATCCTCAGGGGCGAAATGCAAAAACTGTTGTGGTCAAAGGTTGAGTGGCACGTTGAAGAAGCTGGCATCCTTGTGATGATAAGGATTACACCATTCTCTACTGTGTCACAACTCGTAATCGCGTAGAGGCATTGGCTTGCGAAACTGCAGAGTTCAATTAAACGAAGCCATTTGCTGCCTCCCCTAGGCATGGTGTGTGTGCTGTGCCAGCGGCTGGGCTGGCGTCACCTGCAACTGCTGGTGTCCGAGTTCCAGGCACGGCTGCACTTTGGCGTCCAGCCCGAGCTATGCCCGCTGCTGTCCCTGCCCAGCCTGGACGGCCCTCTGGCACGAGTGGTCTTTGATGCAGGCTTTCTCGATCCTGCGGCCCTTGCCCAGGTGGTGCCTGAGGAGCTTGACATTATCCTGCGTAACACAGGACCCTTCCAGGGAAGGTAAGTTGACTGCCAGGGTTGACTTGTGATCACACAGTTTTAGTAGTTGGGGGTATATTTCCTGCTTCTTTAGTGCTTGTAACTGCATCCTGGTCACTGCCAGCATCCATGTCTTCAATGTAACCTCCCCTTGTAAGTTATTTGAGCAGTGTCAGTAAATCACTTCAGCACAATAAATACCCAGAAAATCTTCTCATACCTCGAGTTGAAAATGTGAAAAGCCACATGCAGGAAACACCATTTTAATGGAACAAGACCAGCTCACTCTTACATCATGCAACTTGCTGCCGTCTGTTTGTGCTTAGTTTAACAACATTACAAAGTTCAGAAACCTTCCTCAAATGCACTGGCGAAAAATACGAGAAGAGTACTTCAACGCCCATGACATCATGCTTGTGAACTGCTCTTCATTGCATTCTGGTGTGTCCTTGCTATTTGCGAACGCGACTCCTTGTTGCTAAGAAGCTGACTTTTCTGCAAATTTATTGCTTTTTAAGTGCCAAACTGCACCAGCAGCATGAAACGATTGTTTGTAACAAAATTTTGGACAGGAAATATGGAAAATTCACGATGAAAATTGAGCACACATTCTTCGATTGAATAGGAAGAAATGCATTAGACCTTCTCCTGCTGCACATAAAGAAACTGGAGGGCAGATAAGCCAAATTCAAACATAAATGCTGAATGAACAAAAGAACGACATATCTTTGATTGGCTATTCATACATGCACACAAATTAAAGATGGTGTAATGGAATTTCAATCATGAGGACCATGCTAGGCAAATAATAGGGGATCTGCAAGGTGTCCCAGCTAATTCTAGCCAGAGTAAAAAAATATGCTGACACATTCTATGATTACACAACCAATGCTTGTTGCTACTCTCTGGAGCAAGTCTCATTTTGTTTGTTTTGCTTTGCATGATTTTGCTTAGTTAAGGAAAATGAATTAACTAACTTCCGGGGCAAGAAAGTTGTGCAAAGAATTTCAGTTAGAGATTTGTGGATATGTTTGCCAAGTGTCAGGTTAGACATTTCTTTAACTTTCTGTTTGTTAAATAATAATGAATGTAGCAATGGCGTAGTAGTTAGAGCATCCGCCTCGCATGCAAGAGGTCCGTGGTTCGAACCCTGGTGCCGTGCAGTTCCTAACCGGATAAAAAAAAAAAAAAAATTCGCGTGGTGATGGAACTGCATTAAGAGGCCTGCGGTGCGGCCTCACCGGTGACCACCGCCAGTAACGCACTCCCTCACCACAGAAGGATTGGCCACCCTGGTGCAGTATTTGGCCACTGCCTCCAACGTGCATAAGTCAATTAACTCACGGCCCTCAGTTCTCAGCGGCTGCGAAGCAACTGATCACGGCGGCGGTCAGATCTGCAATGCAGCTGGTGGTGCTAAGAATCTCTGGATCGGACAAGCCGCCATTGGAACCTGAACTTGGCAACGTTTAACGCTAGAAAATTATTTGGTGAGGCAAGTCTAGCTGTACTATTAGAGGAGCTAGAGGGTGTTGAGTGCGTATGATAGGGCTCAGTGAGGTTAGGAGGACAGATGAGGCCTATACGGTGCTACAGAATGGGCATGTCCTTTGCTATCAGGGCTTGGCTGACAGAATAGAACTGGGAGTGGGGTTCTTTATTTACAGAAACATAGCTGGCAACATAGAGGAATACTGCAGCATTAATGAAAGGGTGGTAGGCATCGTAATTAAACTCTATAAGAGATACAAGATGAAGGTGGTACAGGCTTATGCGCCTACATCCAGCCATGATGACGCGTCAGTTGAAAGCTTCCTTGAAGAAGTGGAATCGGCAATGAGTAAGGTAAAAACACAGTATACTATACTGATGGGAGACTTCAATGCAAAGGTAGGGAAGAAGCAGGCTGGAGACCAAGCAGTAGGAGATTATGGCATTGGTACTAAAAATGCCAGAGGGGAGTTACTAGTAGAATTCGCAGAAGGCAATAACTTATGGATATTGAATACCTGCTACCAAAAACGGGGGAATTGTAAATGGACATGGAGGAGCCCTAATGGCAAAAATAAGAGCGAAATAGACTTTATACTGTGTGCACACTCAGGCATTGTGCAGAATGTGGAAGTGCTTGGCAAGGTCTGATGCAGGCCCCGCCGCGGTGGTCTAGTGGCTAAGGTACTCGGCTGCTGACCCGCAGGTTGCGGGTTCGATTCCCGGCTGCGGCGGCTGCATTTCCGATGGAGGCGGAAATGTTGTAGGCCCGTGTACTCAGATTTGGGTGCACGTTAAAGAACCCCAGGGGGTCAAAATTTCCGGAGCCCTCCACTACGGCGTCTCTCATAATCAAATGGTGGTTTTGGGACGTTAAACCCCACAAATCAATCGAGGTCTGATGCAGTGACCATAGAATAATACGGTCTAAAATTCGCCTAGACTTGAAGAAAGAACGACAGAAACTGATACGCAAGAAGCCAATCAATGAGCTAGCACTGTGAGGGAAAGTACAGAAATTCAGAGTTTGGCTTCAGAACAGGTACTCGGCTCTTATCAAGGAAACCAACCTTAGCGTAGACGCAATGAATGATAATCTGACGACTATAATTAAGGAGTGTGCAGTGGAAGTTGGAGGTACGGTACTTAGAACACTGGCAAGCTGTCCCAGGAAATGAAGAATCTCATTAAGAAGCATCAAAGCATCAAGTACAACAGACAAAATAGAGCTGGTAGAGCTTTCGAAGTTGATTAATAAGCATGAGGTATCCCATGTAAGAAGGCATAACATGGAGAGAATTGAACATGCTCTGAAAAACGGAGGAAGTGTCAAAGCAGTGAAGAGAAAACTTGGGATAGGCAAAAACAGATGTATGCACTAAAGGACGAGGAAGGCAAAGTAACTACCAATATGGATAGGATAGTTAAAATAGCAGAAGAGTTTTAGAGATCTGTATAGTAGCCGGGACAACCACGACCTTAATATAAGAACTAGCAGTAACCTAGATGACTTCCCAACAGCAATGATAGAAGAAGCCAGGAAAGCCTTGGAGGGGATGCAGAGAGGCAAAGCTGCTGGTGAGGATCAGTTAACATCAGATCTGCTGAAAGACGGAGGACAGATTGTGTTAGAAAAACTAGCCACTCTGTTTACGAAGTGTCTCCTGACTGGAAGAGTACCAGAAACTTGGAAGAATGCTAACATCATCTTAATACATAGAAAGGAGATGATAAGGACTTGAAGACCGATCAGCTTGCTCGTTGTCGTATACAAGCTATATACAAAGGTAATTGCTAACAGAACTAAGACAACACTAGAAATAAATCAACCAAAGGAATAAGCAAGATTTTCGAACAGGCTACTCAACAATCGACCACATTCATACTATCAACCAGGTAATAGAGAAATGCTCAGAATATAGCCAACCACTATACATAGCCTTCATAGATTATGAGAAGGCATTTGATTCAGTAGAAATATCAGCAGTCTTTCAGACACTACGTAATCAGGGCGTCGACGAAGCATATGTAAACATCCTGAAAGAAATCTACAGGGGGTGAACTGCTACCGTAGTGCTTCATAAAGAAAGCAACAGAATACTAATCAAGAGGGGGTTAAGGCAGGGGGATACAATCTCCCCAATGCTATTTACTGCGCGCTTATAGGAGGTTTTCAGAGGCCTAGAAAAGGGAACAGTTAGGGATAAAAGTTCATGGATAGTATATTAGTAACCTGTGCTTCACTTTTGAGATTGTATAGCTGAGTAACTCAGGGGACGAATTGCAACTCATGATTACGGAGTTAGACAGGGAGAGCAGAAAGGTAGGTCTTAAAATAATCTGTAGAAAATGAAAGTAATGTGCAACAACCTTGGAAGAGAGCAGCGCTTCGAGCAGGTAATAGTGCACTTGAAGTTGCAAAAGACTATGTCTACTTAGGACATGTAATAACCGTGGTGCTGAACCACGAGATTGAAGTAACTAGAAGAATAAGAATGGGGTGGAGCACATTCGGCAAGCACTCTCAAATCATGACAGGTAGATTGCCACTATCTTTCAAGAGTAAGGTATATAACAGCTGCATCTTGCCGGTGCTTTGCTACGGAGAAGAGACCTGGAGACTTACAAAGAGGGTTCAGCTTAAATTTAGAACGACGCATCGAGCAATGGAAAGGAAAATAGTAGGTGTAACCTTAAGAGAGAAGAAGAGAGCAGAGTCAATCAGGGAACAAATCGGGGTTAAGGATATAGTTGAAATAAAGAAGAGGAAATGGAAATGGGCCGGGCATGTTGCGCGTAGACAGGATAACCGCTGGTCATTAAGGGTAACCAACTGGATTCTCAGAGAAGGCAAGTGGGTTAGGGGGAGACAGACGGTTAGGTGGGCAGATGGGATTAAGAGGTTTGTGGGCATAAATTGGCCCCAGTAAGCACAGGACCGAGTTAACTGGCGGGACATGTGAGAGGCCTTTTTCCTGTAGTGGACGTAGTCAGGCTGATGATGATGATGATGATGATGACGACGACGACGACGATGATGATGATGATGATGATGATGATGATGATGATGATGATGATGATGATGATGATGATGATCAAGAAGTTTCTGCATACCTCTGTTGGCCACAAAATTTGTACCATTACTAATAGTAGAGCACAATGGGTTTTCCCAAAATGTGCTACTTTTAGCTCAAAGTGTTGTAACAAAATCTTGTCAGCTTTTCTCAAGTTGCGTTCACATGACCTTTGAGATGAGGTTCTCTTAGTTGGATGTGATAGCCACAGCAGATGGCACAGTGGTGTTTGCTGCATGCCTGATTTTAAGGCATGAAGCGGGTGCGATAGTCTGTTCCTTGACTGCATCATGTCAGAGGACTTGTACAAATGACGTTAGTCTTGGCCTGCTTTATTTAGACTTTGCTAAATTACCTAGTTATTGACAGAAGCTTCTCAGACATGCTTCAAATAACTGGAAGCTTTGATAAATTGCAACTGTGTGGAAATACTCCTTTGTTAAGCAGTGAGAAAGAAATTAATGTACAGTGAAATCTCGATACAAGGAATCCCAAGGGACCGCTAAAAATCATTGACTATATTGAAAAGTCGTTGTGAAAGTACAAAAATTTGAGCGAAAATTGTAGGACGATTTTTCGCAGGCGTCCCCGTGCGCTGGCACGTTTCCTCACGTGACCGCTAACTGGCCTTCTCCCAACCAGTTGCCCAAGGAAACGCATCGGGGCAGTGAAGCGGCCGTGGCCGTGAGCCCTGGTAGCTCTGTTTAGAAGCCAACATGGCAGTGCCCATGCAGACGCGACTGTCCGCTTGATCGATCCAAACTCACGCTTGCTACTCGCCCACTGTCGTCACAGCTATAAATAAATGGTGAAATCAGTTAATGCTTCGTGTTATCTCGCGCTGGGGCCAAGACATCAGGTATGTACTGTCTGTATTAAGGAGATTAGCTGTGTTTATTTAGCCATGCTTGCTAAGCTGTGTCTCCAAGAATTCGATAATAAATCTAGAGAAAACTACAAAGTACCAACGAATACATTGCTCTCGAAGCTTCAGGACATTAATATAAAGTAAATTAATGGGTGCGTTATGAACTTACAGGCCACACAGCGCAAGATGATGATAGGATAAGATTGAGGCGGAAGGAAACGGCACCTATAGGTGCGCCCATGTTGACTTTCCCTACCGTGGCCATCTTTTTGCCATGGCATTCTGCAGCACTGCTGAACATTTGCGTCATATGATCTGCTCAGGTGTCCGCATAGCTTCTGCTTCGCTTTTACTGGCACGCATGCAGACACTATAGTGACGCCAAGCAGACGACGCGAAGCAGTTTTTGAGCAGTGCTGCAAAAGGCCACGGCAGAAAGACCGCCATGGTAAGGACACGTTCACAGCGTTGTGTTGCAATCTACGTTTGAATGAGCAAACCAGTTGTGGAAGATTGTCCATACATTTAAGACTATGTTATGCTTTAATAGGGGTGTCTTTCACGAACGCTTTTGCCTGCCGCATCGGAATGAGAGACAGCGCTACATGCGACCATTGCGACAATGACGAAACAATTGAACATATTTTATGTCAGTGCCCCCAGTACAGCTCTCAGCGACAGTCCCTCTCAGCAGTGTTTGCTCGCCTCGACGACCAGCCATTTTCTGAGCAGTCAATCTTGGAATGTCGGAAAGATCGAGCTTCACGCCAGAAAGCAACGAAGGCGCTGATGAAGTTTCTGCGAGCGACCCGCCTCGTAGAACGATTGTGACACTACTGTGTGCGAGTGTGTGTATGTGTGTTTGTGCTTCTCTTCCTCCCTTTCCCCTTACCCTTTCCCCAGTGCAGGGTAGCAAACCGGATATGTTTTCTGGTTAACCTCCCTGCCTTTCCGCATTAAATTTTCTCTCTCTCTATGCTTTAATAAGTGCAAAAAAACATACACAAAATATTACGGAACCAGTGCACATTTATAAAAGGGAAAGAAGACAACCACCTGTTTGTAGCACGAAGCCCCAAGGGAATCCTTCCTTCAGCCACCTTGCAGATTTTCGCAGAACTCATTTGTGTCGAAGTGCTTCTAGTTGTTGAGAAGTTCGCTTTCATGCTGTCAATTGCTAGCTTCCTGCTTAGATCTAAGCATACTACGTGGTAGAAAACATGGATGAGAAAAAGACAAGAACAAGTGCAGTATACTTGGATTATGTATCACCAACTGGCCCAATTGTCCACATTAATGAGCTGTATTCCTGGTTAGCTCAATTGGTAGAGCAACCGCCCCAGAAAGGTGTTGGTCCCGGGTTCGAACCCTGGACCAGGATGATTTTTTCGGTAACTAAGAGGCTTTTCTTTCTGAGGAATCCATACCGATTTCCTTGTGGCTTTGCGCTACAAACAGGTGGTTGTCTTCTTTCCCTTTCTTAATCCTTCAGCCACCACGTGAGTTTTCGCATAAGTACACATTTATTTGAGGCAGAACTCGATCTATCCTGATGTAGGCAGCTTGACTGCTGAAAGATGAGCTTTTATTAAGTGTGCACATCCTTCTTTCCTACTCTGAAACATCATCGTTAAATACCTCTTCTTCATGTTGGTTCGCACGCACCGCTTCAATGTCGTCTTTGCTCTCGTCACCATTTTCTTGTCATGACAAATCGTATGGATCTTATCAGTCGTCAGCTAAGCTCACGTGCATGTTTCGTCGCACTGTGCATAGTGTTCGGGCGTTAGCGAATCATGCATGTGTAATCATGGGCGACTTCATCCCACAGGTCACTTGTGTCGCATTTTTCGATGTTGTAGCATTACTTTCGTGCTGCTTCCTGAGCCCATCTTGATTGTTCAACCACCAATGAAAGAGCTAAAAAAAAAGTATGCAGGCAAAGCTGCCCTACGAAAACAAAGGCAACAGTGCAAAGCTTGACACGCAAAACAAGTGCCAGGTGATGATGATGGTGATAGGGCTGTCGCACATTTGAATAGGGCGGGCGCATGGAGAAGTACTGAGCGTTCTGATGATGATGATGATGGAAGGTACGAAACTGGGAATTATTTTTACAGCTGCGAGTAACTTTTTGAAATCGCTACTCGATATTTTGAAGTGTTGTGGAGGTATGAGGGAGATGAAATTCAATATGATATTCTGAAACATTCATTTTCAGAAATTCATAGTAGGGAAATATGTTTACATTGAACCAATGAACATTTAGAGGGGGATTTTTGAAAAAGTTGTTAACCTGAGGTTCGCTATAATGAGATTTGACTGTATTTCTATGCAACTATTATTGGGAAATGTGAAAAATTTATGATGAAGAAGGTTGAAATAAATCAAGGTTTTTTTATATTGCCACACACGTGCTCCTTTCTATCTTCATGTTGACTCCATCACAATGTAATTGCTGCCTTGCGCAAAGCATGTCCGATTGACTGGGAACTATCTAGGTAATCCTAGAACCTTGCGATGTAATAAATGCACAACATGAACACTTGAGTCCACTCTGGAATTTATGCGGGGGCTAGCAATAACACTGAAATCTAATACTAAAATAAAATAAAATAAAAGCCGACGCGCTCTATCACTTGTTAGTTTAGTGGCGGCCGACGCTCTGTTCGCCACTATCAGTGTAGGTCTAGGGTGCATTGCTCGCTGTCAGTTTAGCTTTGTTTCCGAGCCACAAGTTTGGCCAAATAGAGTTACATATTTCCGAGTTCTGCTGGAGTCTTCTGTATCGTCACGACCATATGACCATACAAAATGATTGTATCTAGTTTTGAATTCTTATGCCAAGATAGAAATATAATGTTTTATGCTGTTTGAAATTTTCAGAAGCAGGCTCATCTCGGTGCTGTAAGTTCTCCATACCACTTTAGATTTCATTATCGCAAGATTTATGACCTTGCAAGAAAATGTCCATGCAGAAGCAGGATGATCTGGCTTTTAAACTCCCACTACAGTTGGCTCATTTATTTGCTGAAATGTTACTGTGCAGCATGAAGTACTGATCTGATGTTAAATTTGAACTGAATCAGCATTTCTCTGCAATGTTTAACGTCGCACTTGTCATATTAGCTTTGCTCATATATCGTGCAATCATTGGAGAGCTCTGGTTGTAGGAATTCCTGGTGTGCTTGTGTGTACAGACTTCTGTGCACTTGCACCATAATCCAAGTCTTCTCATTGTTCGGATGCAGGGGTGAGTCCCGCTGTTGGCACTTGACGGCGCACGGCACAGTGACAACCACACAGTTGGCCAACATCCTGGTGCGTGAGGCCAGGGCAGTGGTTGAGGGATCCCTGGGTGTGGCTGTGGCTTGGGCCAACAAGGCCAATGCAGCTGCCGGATCGGCTGCATCGAAGAACAGCCACACAGACAATGGGGATACTGAAAATCTTCAAGAAAGAGAAACACGAAACAGCCACGGAGGCACTCACACCATCAATTCGTTGAGTAATGGGCTACGGCAAGATGCCTCAGGAAATGATGTCAGTACGTCAGCAAAGAATTCTGTCTCACCATTACGCCAACTTTCACCACCAGCAAGGGAAGCTTTCATATCTCAACGAGTTTCACGCACGAGAAAAAGTGACAGTGATTCACCCATTGTATTTTCTTCTCCAAAACAAGCAGTTGCTTTCGAGTCTGAACATAAAACGCACGATGATGCTTCCGAGACGCAGTCTTTGATCCCATGGTCGTCACTGCAACCGGGTGGAACCATTGCTCATCTTGAATTGGAAGTGCACGATTCGGAAGACGAAGAGCGCCTCACATTGGACGGGCTTTTTGGTAGTTTACCTGTCGCGTCGCAGAGATCGCCACTGGAAGCGAGGCATGCCTGTGTGGACTCACCACAGTCGGCTAAGTCATTCATCGAGTCAAACCTGGACGACGCCATTTTGTTGTGGGAGAATAACAGCTCTCCGCTGTCTTTACCAACAACGGAGCGTGTCAGCAAGGAGGCGCAGTCACCTCCGGCTATGACGCAGCCCAATGTGGCTCCATCACCGAAGGATGACGACATTTATATGCTGGGTGAAAGTCTTATTGTCAACACACAGATGCTGAATGTAGAAAAAGAAATTGTACCGACACCACCTAAAAACAGCCCACCTCGTAAAGCAAGAGTCCGATCCCCAAAAGTTCAATTGTCTGGCAAGAAGAGTAGCGCTCAGAAAACAAGTCGTACCACCCGCAGAACATCGCCACTCACCACCTCCCCCAACAACAGAGTGTTGCGATCGCAGACTTGGAGGTCTCGCCAGAATGAGGAAAACGTTCGGCCGTCTGCACACCATCAGGGTGCTTCATTGATGGCCGAGTCGTTTGGCATAGGAAGCAGTTTTTTTCAAGCCACGGTTCCTAGGACTTCTAAGCTCAAGAGTCCACCATTAACTCTGCAGAAAAGCATGCGAGGTAACACGTCACCGTACAAGTGCACGAGCCAGACCGTGGGTTCTTCTCCCAGGAGAGAATCTTACAGGTTTAGTGGCAGCTTTGTTCTTGACAGCCAGACTGTCAAAGCTATGGACGGGGTCACGCTCTCCGATGACATTGCCGAGAATGCCGCAGATGATGCACAATGCTTCGAAATTTCCAGTGGCATGTTGGCACGACGACCAACCAAGCCCCGCCCGTGAAAAACCACTGACGACAAACACCACTACTGTCGAGATTTCTGCGGGCGTCTGCTCCCTCGGAAGCTCCGCACTGTCAGAACTTTTCAGTTCTCCAGGTAACGCTGTTGTCAAGTCGAACAGCAACAGCTCCTACAGTGAACGAAGCGAACACTCCTCGAAGTCTTCCAAAGGTCACAAGAGGAGTGCTTCCGAGGGCGAGCTGTTCTCTTCGACCGACGACAGCAGTGACCATTCGCTGAACTCACTGGCCGACCGAGTGAGGGAAGAGTTCAGCTGGAAGCGCGTCGAGTCTGTGCGGGACTTCTTGTGCCAGTGGGAGAAGCAGAAAGAGTTTGCGATGGCCCTCACTGTCAGGAGCCGTGTGGAAGTGCGGCCATCGATTGGGCCGACCAAGAGTGCGAGGCTTGTTTTCAAGTCCTGTGAGAACCCCTTTGCCTGTGACAACAAGTGTGTGACGGGTGTCGCCGTCTGTTGGGGGAAGTATGAGGCGCATTACCTGCCATTAGGTAGGTACCCTTGCTTTACGTACTCTCAGATAGCTTCACACTGTCTGCAGTTTGCTCATTCATCTTTGAAGTTCTTACTTATTGCACAGCCCTATGTACTGGCTGCATTGCTCAATGTACTGACATTGTATTGCCCATTGTATTGGTAAATTAAGTAGGCTTGTGTGAGTAGGCAATTTTAGGTTCAAAGCGAATACGGATTTCGATCGAACAATTTTGCATCGAATTCGAATGTTATGTATATAGCATATTATTAAAGAAAAGGGCATATTTGTCATGACCAAACCAGTCTGTGCAATATTTAAAAAAATTCAAACAAGGCCTGTGCAAATGCAGTTTTTTATTTTGTACCAAAGGAAGGGGAAACAACTTTCAATGGTAGCAGGATTTGGCTTTCGGTACAATTCAAGTGATAGCCTGTAAAATATGTCAAGCTTGTACTGTAAATATGTCAATTGCTGTACTAAGAGCATATAAGCCAGTTTAACAAGATTTTAGCCCTGTAATGCCCCCTGTATTATATTTGATACATTGAACGATACCTCAATAACGCTGTTAAAAGCTACTATAGGTGTAACAATAACCAGCTGTTGCAGATTTGACATGGTATAAAGAAGGTACAGTGACCTACATATTATACGATAAGAATTAATTCCGATTGGTTCTAATTAGGTTACGGCTCAAATAAAACTTCATATATATTTTTCTTAAAATGAACTGTGCAAGAAGAGTAAGAACAGTCAGCGTTTTCTTGCAATTTTTCTGAAGGTTTCCTTGCAATTTTTCTGAAGGCGTAACTGTCCGTGCCCATTACAAGGTTAAACTAAAAAAAAAAAAAAAAAGAATCAATGTTAGGGTAGTGTTTTTATTTAACCTTGCAGTTGGTCTTTGCTGCAGTGCAAATTTCTTTTGGGTACATGTTTTCATGGCTTAGCAGCACTTTAATGCAGTGAGACCACTTTTACAGAGAGTGACATGTCAACTAATATATAGAGTGAATTCCTTTAAACGGAACGTGAAGGGGCAAGAAAACTTGTTTCATGAGAAGTTTTATTTAAGCAAACCCCACAGAATGAATGAAATATGACTTTATTTCAAAAGCACCAACTGTGGCTGACTGAACAAAAACATTTTGAAGTACACAATATTACTATAGTTGATTAGAAAGAAGAAGGTTTCTGATATTATTGACTCAGAAAAAAGGAGGTGATAACAGTTTGCTTGGCCTTGTTCAAGCACTTTCTCACATAGTAGGAGTGTATTGCTGAAAGGCTGGGCAGGAACTCCGTGCGACCATCGTGTTCGAAGTAGCACTGCAACGAGCGGACAGCATCTCTTGCTGCATAGTCCGCCACTGAATTGGGCTCAGGATCACCCGCCATCTCATTACCACTTGAGCATGGGTCCTCATCTTGAACTTCAGCTATAAGTTCTTCAAGACTGTCCTCAAGTTCACGATGAAACAATGATAGCTACTTAGCACACGTAGACATGTGCAATCGCTGGATTGGCTTGGCTAGGCTAGGCTAGCCATAGAGAAATAAAAAAAAAGGTTGGCTAGCTCTGGCGTTTGTTTCATGGTTGCTAGACTGCCGTGGCCACTTTCGCCGTTCATGGATTTTGCCCGTTTTCGTTTCATTTAACCGATGTAAGGTAAAAACAAATGTTTTGATTACCCAAAACCCTTTATCAACAAATATATAGGAGACCAACCAAATGTACCTAGATAGTTTTGTTTATGTGGCTTTTCCGTTTAACCGAGTTTCGTTTAATGGGAATCCACTGTACTTGGATAGGTGCTTTTACAGCTTAGCACCCTTCTACTGCAGTGAAACCACTTTTACAGGCTGTTACATGCACTCTCATTATTATCATCATCATCATCAGCCTGACTACACGCACTGCAGGGCAAAGGCCTTTCCCATGATCCGCCAATGAACCCGGTCTTGTGCTTTCCTGTTGCCACATTATACCTGAGAACTTTCTAACCTCATCCGCCCACCTAACTTTCTGTCTCCCCTTTGTGCGTTTGCCTTCTCTGGGAATTCAGTCAGTTACCCTTATTGACCAGCGGTTATCCTGCCTATGCGCTACGTGCCCGGCCCATGTCCGTTTCATTCTTGATTTCAACTATATCCACAACTCATGCTTGTTCCCTGATCCACTCTGCTCTCTTCTTGTCGTTTAAGGTTACACCTATCATTTTCCTTTCCATCGCTCGCTGCGTCGCCCCAATTTAAGCTGAACCCGCTCTGTACGCGTCCAGGATTCTACTCCTTAAGCGAGTACCGGCAAGATGCAGCTGTTATATACCTTCCTCTTGAGGGTTAGTGGCAGATTACCATTGATGATTTGAGAATGATTGCCGAAGGTGATCCACCCTATCCTTATTCGTCTAGTTATTTCACTCTCATGGTTCGGCTGTGCGGTTACTACCTGTCTTAAGTAGGCACATTCCATTACAATTTCCAGCGTCTTTCCACCTCTCGCAAAGTGGTGTTTTCTGCCGAGACTGTTACACATCACTTTAGTTTTGTGCATATTAATTTTCAGACTTACTTTTCTGCTTTTCGTCTCCAGTTCAGTATAATCATGAGCTGCAACTCGTCCCCTCAGTTGCTCATCGAAGCAACGTTATCAGCGAATCACAGATTACTAAGATACTCTCCATTAACTCTTTTCCCTAGCCCTTCCAAATCTAGGGTCCTGAAAACCTCCTGTGAACATGCGGCGAATAGCATTGGAGAGATTGTTTCCCTGCCTTACACCCTCCTTTACTGGGATTCTGTCACTTTCTTTATGGAGAACTATGATGGCTGTGGATCGATTTCTTCCACTATGTTTATGTAGGGTTTGTCGATTTCCTGATTCCGTAATGCCCGCATTGCTGGTGATGCTTCGACTGAATCAAATGCCTTCTCGTAATCCATGAAGGCTATGTATAGGGGTTGGTTGTATTATCCGCATTTTTCTATTACCTGATTGATAGTATGAATACGCTCTATTGTGGAGTAGCCTGTGCGAAATCCTGCTTGATCCTTTGGTTGATTGAAGTCTAATGTAGCCTTAATTCTGTTAGCCATTATTTTTGTAAATAGCTTGTAGAGAACGAACAGTAAACTGATTGGCCTGTAATTTTTGTAAGTCCTTGGCGTCTCCTTTCTTATGGATTAAGATGATGTTGTCTTTCTTTCAAGATTCTGCTACCTCTCCCATCAAGAGACACTTCATATATAAGGTGGCCAACTTTTCTAACACAATTTCTTTGCCATATTTCAGGAGGTCCATTGTTACCTTATCCTCACCAGTGGATTTGCCTCTTTGCATTCCTTCTAGGGCTTTCCTTACTTCCCCTGTCGTTACTGGTTGGATGTCGAATTCCTCTGGACGATTATTATTTCTCACGATATCATCCTGGTTGTTGTGGATTCTGTACAGCTCTCCGTAGAACTCCTCCGCCACCTTGACTATTCTATTCATATTAGTTATGACATTGCCTTCTTTGTTCCTTAATGCATACATCTGATCTTTGCCTGTGCACAAGTTCGCCTTCGCAGCTCTTAGGCTTCTGCCACTTTCAGCCTGCTCAATTCTCTCCATGTCATACCTTCTGATGTCGGCTACCTTGCACCTATCGATTAACTTTGAAAGCTCCACTAGCCCTATTGTTTCGGTTGCATTTGATGCTTTCATGGTTTGTCATCTCTTAATGAAATTTTTCGTCTCCCGAGATAGTTTGCCAGTGACTGTACCTCCGACTTCCATTGCACACTCTTTGATGATAGTACTAAGGTTATCGTTCATTGGGTCACCGCTAACTTCGGTTACCTCGTTTAGAGCCTTGAATCTATTCTGAGGAGAAACGTTGAATTCCTGTAATTTCGCTCTCACCGCTAGTTCATTAACTGGCTTCTTGTGTATCAGTTTCTGTCTTTGCTTTTTAAAATCTAGGTGAATAGAAGCTCTTATCATTCTATGGTCACTGCATCAGATCTTACGAACTACTTCTACGTCCTGTACAATGCCTGGTTGTGCACACAGAACAAAGTCTATTTCATATTTAGTTTTGCCACTAGGATTTCGCCGCGTCCATTTACGTTGGAACTCGTTTTCTGAAGAAGGTATTCAAGATCCGTAAAGTATTATGTTCTGTGTACTCTACTTATAACTCCCCTCTGGCATTTCTAGAGCCGATGTCATATTCCCCCTGTGCATGGTCTCTGGCCTGTTTCTTGCCTACTTTGGCATGAAAGTCGCCAATGAGAATAGTATACTGTGACTTTACTTTGATAATGGCTGACTCTATGTTTTCCTAGAAGCGTTCAGCCAAATGATTATCATGGCTTGATGTACGCTTGTAGGCTTGTATCACTTTATCTTTTACCTGTTGTTAAACTTAACTATGATACTTGCTACCCCCTCACTGATGCTATATTATTCCTCCATGTTGCCAGCGATATTCTTGTGTATAAGAAATCCTACCCCTAGTTTGTTTCCGTCAACTAATCCACGGTAGCATAGAGCCTGTTTGTTCTTCAGCACTGTATAAGCCTCACATGACCTCCTAGCTTGGCTGAACCCCATCACATCCCATTTAACACCTTCTAATTCCTCGAATGGCACAGCTAGACTAGCTTCACTAGATAGTGTTCTAGTGTTGAGGGTAGCCAAGTTCAGGTTCCAATGGCAGCCTGTCCTGACCCAGGGATTCTTGCCACCCTCCGTGTCGCAGGTCTGATTGCTGCCTTGGACACTTGCTTTGCAGCCACTGGGGACTGAAGGACAAGGGTTAATTGCTGTATTCATGTAAGGTTGTGGCCAGGTACTGCACCAGGGTGGCCAATCCTGCTCTGGTGAGGGAGTGCTTTACTGGCAGCTGGTAGACAGTGAGGCTGCACTCCAGACATCTGTAGTTTTTTTTCTTTTTCAAAGATTCCTTCATCACAGGTCTCAAGTAAATTTACAATTGGGAATGGTCTGGTATGTGCATTCGAACCGTA